TTTGTTTGCTTCCTGAAAGGCTGAAATAACTGTACACCTAGTCTGAAAATTACACTCTGGCTTTAAAAGGCCACCATGTCTGGTCTAGAGGTTTCTTTCACATTTTTTGTAGAAGTGCTTGTTTTCAATATTCTTTTTTCTGTAGTTACACAAGATAGCTGAAAACCCAAATAAAGAACTTATTTTTTAATAGATAGTGATGAAGTAATAGACAATTCTTCACTTGTTTGATAAAAAGAGAATTTCCAACCAAGTCTATTTGCACAGATGTATAAACAGATTTGAATCAAAAATAAAATGCAGAATGAAGATGATTCAAACGCATTAGAGCAGCCTAAAAACAACACAGAAAATGCAAGCAAACAAGATCGTTACTCTAGTATCTTTTTTGTTTTTTAACATAATCTTATTCCTTCACAGTTCTATACGAAATATCAGAAAATCCTTCTTAGAAATAATCTACTGTGAAATTGCAGATGAAGTCTATCCTGTGTATGAGTAAGGAAGCTGCAAAGAACAGTTCTCAGTAGTTGTTACTGTGGTAGATACCTGCCACACTAAATGACGTGCATTTTCCACTCAGGAGTTTAGAACACTGAAGTCTGGTGTGATACTCTCTGCATCATGGTATCAGACAGCTGACCTGCAAACTGCAATCTGAGAGAGACACTTGACTGGTCTCTGAAAGACTTAGTTTTAAAAATACATTGCATAGCCCAGAACCTGCAGAGGATGGACTTAGTGGAAATTACTTGAGATATAATCTGTATCTTCAAAATTCAGAACAGCTGTTTGCCACATTTCTGCATGGAACAAGGAACTTAAACACCTCTTCCTATTGACACTTCAATGCCTTTCACATAAATGGCACTATCAGAAACATCAGCTCTTTGGGAGACATTATATAACAGTATGTTCTGCTCTTCTGTTCTCTCTTCCCCAAATCTACATTGATCTGACACTGCCAGTTGTGGTCAATGGGCAGAATTTGGACAATTTTCAGACACTAGGTAATGTGTATGACTCAGAAACTGTTGTTAGGAGGCTAAAATATTGTTACCATAATTCCAGTTTTCTGACTTTAAGGGATATCTAAATGTATAAGTACTATGTCTATCTAAAGTAAATAAATTAAAATTTCTAATCTTTTAAGTGCATTCCTTGTTATATTTGAAAACTAAAGTTAAAGCAGATATACACTGCTACAGATGTCTATTTATGATGGCTCCTTCTGTAAGATGACAACAGCTTCTCTCTTCACTGAGAACATCACTTCATCTTACCTACAGCTACAGCATCTTCCATTTTTATGCAATCTGATGACCTCATCAGACAAAGGGTAGATATTCCCCAAAATACAGTACCTTTTAGTTTCTTCAACAGCATGTGATAAAGAGTGCCACATTTGCTTGCTTCTTCCATTGTCATACTCAAACTATCTTCAAATGGTTATTTTCTTTAATTCAAATACTGGACAGGACTCAGTTTGGCTAGTAATATTCATCCAAGATGTGGTTTACTTTCTCGTTTGTCTACTTAATGCGTATATTTTCTTGTTACTTTTACTACTTTCAGATTTTATCTAATTTTTCACAGCTGAGAATTTGAGAGAGCTCTCACATGTTTTACTCTCATTTCATGATGGCACGCTTCATATTCTGTTTGCTGTTACCCAAACCAACTGAATTTTCAGCCATCACATAGGATCTGTGGATATCCACACTAAACAAGAATACCCTATTATAAGAGTGGACGTTCTAGCTAAACTAGTCAGTTTGTACAATTCATTTGAAAACAAAGAAGAATTGAGAGTATGACCGTGTTCCCCAATACCTCTGCACAAAGAAGAGTCAAAAGCTCTGCAACAGACTTAGAGGTGTTTATCAGCCCAGTTCTGGACCCTGCAGCAAAAAGCAAAGAAGAAATAGTAGCAAGAGCTATTTCTTGTGAAAAAGAACCAAGACTTTGTTTCCCTATGCCTTTAGAGGTAGAGGAGGTTAGGAGGTTCACATACTATGTTTCATTAATCAGAGAAAAGGCAGATGATACATGAATCATAGCACAAGTAACATTAAGGACAGACTGACTATTCCTTACTGGATAGAAAACATGCTCAACTGAAACTTACACTTCAAAAACAAGATGTTCTATCAACAAGACACCTTTTTCTATCCTTAAGTTCAAATCTTACACTTTTTATAATCAGTTCATTAGTTACTCATGTTCTTAAGTACGATTTCCTAAATTCCTGTAAAGCTTTCTTTGACAAACAAAAACTTCCTGTTCCCCAACCTTCTACCTCGACTCCCCAGGATCCTCATGTGTATTGTAACTTGTAGGCAACTTAAATGCCTACATTAGTCTCCTGGCTTCAGCAATAAAGGACTAATAAACCTAGTTTATCCACTGTGGATAGGAAAAAAAGATGAATTCAACAAAGTGTCAATATTCTGTTCAATATTAGTTGCTTATTACTTATTATTTTTGCTTATTACTTAATGCTTATTATGTTGTTGCTTTCTACTCCTGTGGTTCTAGATTCATACATAAGTAGAAAGAAAAATGCTTTAGTCAGTCTTTGAGATCTGCAGGAAAAAACAGTATTTCCAAACAGAAAACACATCCACTTCAACTGAATGCTCTGTTAGTTTTCAATGTTTTTGTATTCCTTTCCCAAAAGAGTCATTTCTTAAAAATAAAATAAAGTAAAATAAATTTAAAGGCAGAAACACCTTATTATAGACAGATTGCAGATCGAAGCAGGAAGACACAGTTGGCACAGATAAACTGAACAGCATAAAAAATATTTTGATTGTCAAGAAGAGACTTATTAATTGAAAATACCAATTTCTGATCAGTCTTATGTAGAAAATCAGAAAATTTCATTAAATGTACTTTAAAAAAGGACATATTCATAGGTCTTCATGATGCTCTCAAATAAAGCTTCAATATAAAATAACTATAAAAAAACTTCTATTTAAAAAAGTGATAATTCAAAGTGAACAGAAACAGCTATACAGTAATTGTTAGTCCCTGTTAGAATAATGACACTAGAAATCAAAATAAATGAGAAATTTCAGTTATCAGAAATTCAGTTTTTCTTTCAAGAACTATCAGGTTATAGTTAAGATTCCAGCATTTAAGACTATGACCATTTCCCTAAAACTGTGATGGAAACTTAGCTGTATTTTTAAAATAGTATTACATCTAATATTAATCTTTGAAATCTTTTTGGGTAAGCTTCACTTGAAATCAGCTTTTTAATTATGATGAATTAATTGCTCCGACAATGAAACCAAACTTCAACTAATGCAAATTAATTGAAAAATGGTCTGATGTCCAGAAGAGCAAAAACGATCATATTTTTCATAGAAAACGTTTTGAAACTAAAATAATGAATAAATGAACAGAATAAAAGTTATATTCTAAGTAGATACTCTTTTCAAACAATTTTATGAGGCTTTAGCAGCTCTTTTTTTTTTTTTTTAAAAGCACAGAACAAGGAATTCCAAGCTCCGTGTTTAAGAATAGGCAGCCATAGAGGAATAATTTCTAGATTAATGCTTTCTATGTCAAAGCAAGAACAGGAACTGAAATCAAGAGGCAGCCTTCTCCATAATTACTGATGTCTTCCTGCCTCATTCAATCTCCAAGAGAATTGATACTACCATTGCTTCTGAGTCAAAAAATAGATAGCTTAAACTGACAAGTTAAACAAGAGAAATTAATTTATAATATTTGTAGTCACACAGGCTCTAGGTAATTGCACAAACAATACAACTGAACTCTCACAAAATAAATGTTGAGAGAGATAGATCAACACACAGTTGCTCAAAGTTGTCCTTTCAACATTTTCTTTCATTTATACTTAATTTTATTAATGTTACCAGCAACACCCATTAAGAAAGCATCTTTCTACAGTATTCCTGAGTATTTTTGACCTACTTTTCTGTTAAGAAGCGACATTCTAATGCAAATGTGTTGGAATTGAAAGGCCTCACTTTACAACAGTTGGCCTGGTTTGATCTTCCCAGTGTAAAAATTCTTTGGCATCCCTGCTAATGGCTCTATTAGTTACAGTACATCAACAACACTGGAAGAAACTCTTTTAGCCACTGTGGATGTTCAACATCCTAGAACGACAAAATCTTGTATCTACAATTCCTACAGTGATTGCTAATATGTTTGTAAAGACTAAACTGGTTATTCACGAATTACTTATTATATGGTTGTGGTTTATCTTAAGAATCAGTCTAGGAAAATGCAAATGTTTATTACAATACAAACAACATCAAAGTGTCCAGATAATCAGAGTAGATTAAAACCACTCTGTAATAAGAATAAAAATACACAAACTGTACCTGAATTTATTCCAGATTGTATGTATTCCAAATGTAATTAAAAAAGACGCATGACCAACAAAAAACTTAAAACGTATCTGTTGCTGCAAAGAAGCTCTCCCAGTAAACTCTAGTTTTATGTTTCAGACATTAAGCGCAGACTCTAATGACCATTAATTTAACCCATTACAGCAACTGCATGTTTCCACCCTCAAAAAAAAATCTTCGAACTGATTAATGTTTGACTTTCCATGCCACAGAGATTCTAGTATGTGCTGTGGAAACTGGATTTTTGTTAACTGAATCCAGGTCAAACTGAAGATTTTTCAAGCCTCAAATCAGAGCAACATGGCACAGAATTTGATTTCAAACACCTAATCGTTACTCCTACTGTTTCTCTCAGAGAAAAATCACGCAGAGGGGTGCTCTGTTGCTCAATTCCCAACTCTTTCAGAGCTGACCAATACGAAAAAAGAAAAAAAGGTAATTTATTAGACCACCATTTGACCCTTCTCCTCCTCCTTCTCCCATCCTCGGTGACTTTGATCATTCACGGTGGCCATTAACAAAAAAACCCACCAAGTTTGTTACAGCTTTTTAAGATGAAAAATGAGGATAAAAATAGACTAAAACCAACATTTCCCAAACATTTCTCTTTACCTTGGCACTACAGACTGTTACATTAGCAGGGAGCTGGGAAAATTGCTTCAACTCAAATACATCTCGCACTGCCCACCGGCTCAAGTGATTCTCAGCCTTGCTGGATCCAACCACATTCTGATTCGAATGTATATATGCCACTTCCTGAACACCATCTGAAATATTAGGAGAATGATATCAAAGATCTTGGTTATTCCAAAACTCTTAAGGTACACAGTTATCCTCAAGAAGCATATCGTATCTTAAAAAAAGGTTTTACTTGAAAGCTGAAACTTTTGTTATTATTTCACTCAGCCCTAGGTTTTCCTGTTCTGTGAAATTAACAACAATCATTAGATTTATCCAGTTTAATGCTGCTGCCATTTCAGTGTGGGACTTTTTCATATTGAGAAAGAAGTTTCAAAGTGTCCATGATTTAATGGCTGCAATACTGATGTTTAAAGTTCAGTCACTAACAGAACCAAATCTTCTACATGGTACTTCAAACTCTTAAGTCACATAAATAAAAACTAAGACATGTGAGGAAAAACTACCATCCCTGTCAAGACTTTCAAGTCTTTACTGTTTACATGGCTTAATTTGTGAATTGTTATTAAATCTTTAATCCTAGTATTTTTCAATGGACAGTACATGTTCAAGAGAATACTGCAGAGCAGCTCATTTCCCCAGAAGACAGGAAAGTAAGGCTAGCAGGTAGAAAGAGTAGCAGCAAGACATTATTAGATAACTTAGTACATTGTAACAAGATAATGAACAGAAGAACTTAAAACCTTCCAACAGTGGTAAATTAAACATGTTACTACTCTAGATTAAAGAAAAGCAAGGTAATTAAATGACTAGTTACCTAAATATTTGTCCATTGATTCCACTTTGTGATCCTGATGGTCAAATTCTGCTTTATGTGCATAAGTTTTATGCGGAGCGTAACTGCTGGACTTCTTTTCTGCAACAGTGCACATTCTATCTTGAATAGGATGGAGGATTTTGGACCCAAACCGAACTGTCCGTCTCTGGCTTTTACACTTATAGCTTTGCTTTCTGGCATGAATCTTCTCAACTGGTAAGTTATCTTCAGAGGATGAAAATTCATCTATGTTCTGAGATTCACTTTCCTTTTCTTTTCTACTGGGTTTCGCTTGCAGCTGAGATTTGGAGAAGTTACCTAGTTCATTGCTATGGGCATGCCTTTGTTTCCATCTTGGAAAGCTGGAAGTTCTCAACTTTTCCGATTCAGAATTACAGGGAATTTCAATATCATCAGACTCATCACTCACATCACTTGCACCTTTCAAATCTCTTGCACTGTTCTTAACATCTTCATAAGACCTGATTTTGCTGACATTTGACTCAGTACTACAGAATCCAAGTTGCCTACAGTCTCTTTTAAATATAGACCTATCTTTTGCTGACTCTAAAGGATTTTCAGACGGTGATCTGTGTATTTCAGCTCTTTTAGTAAGCACTGCTTGGTGGCATGCTGAAACTTGGGTTGGAAAGATAATGTTATCGTTCTCTTCAGAACTACTTTCAGTTTCCATCACTACATCATTCTGCTTTGAAATGCACTGATCCTCATCTTCTCCATCCTCTTCCTCCTCCGAGTTTGATAAAACAAGCCAATCTGCACTACACATTTCTTGTTTGTCAGTTCCATTTGGTGACTGAGCAGCTTTGCTGTGCTCTAAAACACGCACATGGCTTTGATGTTTCTGAACACCAGTACATTTGCTATTTACATTTGTTCTTGTAGTCTGACCATCAGAACTTGAATGATAAGAGTTGTCATTATCATTTTTTTTGGTAGTTTCAATTTCACTCTGCAACAATTTAGAAAAACCACACTGCATTAAGGAAAGCTGTCCCTTTGTTACTGTTAAATTATTTGCACTGCAAGGCCTCTTTCTGTCATTTCTTTTCATGGAAATTTCCAGCATATCATCATCACTAAAATCATTATGAAAATCTATTTCTTCTCTCTCTAACTGTGCCTTAGAGTTTGGGGGATCTCCATCTCCTCCAAAGTCTGGTCGTTCATACTAAAAAAAAGAAAAATAAATTATAGCAGTTAGATACTACAAACAAGGTGAGGCGGAACAAAGTCTTTAGCAGAACAATAACGAAGACAACACTAAAAAACTGTTAATGCATCTCAGCAGTCGGCAGCATACGCTGTCTAAATCAACATTTGTTTTCCTAATTCACACCCATATTTCTTCAGTTTATACTAATCTTGTTGCAACTTTCCATCTTTCAAAGGTAGTTTGAAAAGTGACTTAATGATTCAAGCCATAAAAAAGCCTTTTTATGAATGGTATTCATAAAAAATCTCATTGCACTATGGTCAACCTCCTTGTATAAGACAGCTAACAGTTTAAAGGAGCTGTACGTACTTAAGATTCTGCTCTAAAATTAGTCGAACCCTACTGCAATCCAACAAAAATTACCTCCAGGCAACCTAAAAACACTTAAAAATCTATAGGAGTTCAGAGTACAGCTCTAAAATTGTATATTACTGTGACAAGAACTGTGACAATATGTAAACGGGAAGTCAGAGGGTAAATACTCAACTTTTTTTCATGTAGAAAAGTTTTAAAAGTTCAGCTTAATATATTAATCTTGATACAATCCTGCCTGTAAGAGTATTTAACATAACCCAAAAATTGTGTCACCAAGTCCAATTTGAGGTCATGACCACTGTGAAGTCACACTGATTTAAATTAGTATTGATAATTACCTGCAGAACCTCCCTTCCAAAACATGAGATAGCAGCTAATTTTCAGCATAATTCACTGTGATATGATATTTTCACCCTTAGAGGCCATATTCTAGACTCTATTGCTTATTTCCCAAATCAACTTAATATAGTGTTCAGTCAAAAAATAAAAAAAATAAAAAAATAAAAAATTTACATTTAAGCCTTTAAAGAAAAACTTTTCTGGTTCCAGAAGTAAGCCTATAGATTCATTACTTGAATTAAAAAGCCATGACTAAACAAACCACTGATGCAATAATCACTGTTTTACTCCATCAACTAAATAGCCCATGTCTTCTACAGAGGGCCAAAAAGCCTGAAACAAGTTTTCAATCCTCTGAAACAACTCTATTCCTTTCCACAATTACCTAACCAAAATCTTCCAAAGAGCAGTAGGTGCCAGATTCTTAAATGACTGGTTGTTATATCAGGTCACATTGTGATAGCATAAGGCTATCGCTCTTAAGGCAGTACAGAGCAATCCATCAGTAAAGAATGTTGCTGTATAGTAACAGCATGTTAGTAAAACCTTCATTGAGCCTGATGATACCGAAGTAGTGTAAAGGTCACAGAACACTGTAACACCAGATGTTCAAAATATTCTATTGTAAATCCAGACAGCAGAACATTATATAATGATTTACAATATGTACAACAAAAGGCAAGCAGACAATGAAAGACAGCAAGTGCAATCACATGTAAAAGCATTACCAGCCTAACAACGTACCGACAACATTTGCTACTATAGTGTCAGGAATTAGAGAGACTTTCACACTCTGCCCTGTATCCCACAGAGATAACTCACCCTTTCTGAGCTGTGTGGAGGAGACTCTTCCTTTAGCCAAGTAGTTGCTGTCATAACTCCTGCTTCTACTCGCCCTTCCCTCTAAAGATTCAAAAATATATATAGAACAAAAATTGTATCCTCTCAAATTAACAAAGGCAGACCTAGCAATACATTTTTTTCCCTTACTATTGAGGTATAGGCATCTAAAGTATAATAAGCAAACCCCAGACTAAGACCTGCATTTTAGCAATAAACTTACTTCTCTTTTGATCCAAACCCATGACCTGCAGGAGCACACAACCCACGGGAAAACTGACCTATTGTATAAATTGTATCTTACACGGTTTCAATATTTTTTTTACACCTTTCTTCCCCTACAGCAGAATACTTGCTACAACATTCACATTACATGCCATATTTAAATTAACATTTAATTTAGAGAAGTTTTGAGCTAAACATCCCCAAAGTACATGTATTTACATCTTTGTGTTACTCTTTTGGCTATGGTACATTTATACAACTATAGCACATTACAAATATCCCAGTATCTCCCCAGCCTGCTCTTAGGCAAAATGACAACATAAAGGGAAGGATAGAAAGAAGCCTAGAATAAAACTCTAAGATGCGAAGTAGTTGCAACGAACATGCACAGTAGAAAGTGAATATGTACTGCATGCACTTAAAAACAATTTGCACTACATGTTTTGGAACTGGGACAATAGCCTACAGAATATGAAACCTCAGTTGTACAACTCCGTCCTGTAACGTTGAGAAAAAACAACCTTAAGCAAATTTTATTGAACAGTTTTTTGATTTAAGGAAATTTTTCCAGCTTATATTCTGCAGAGAAATTAGCAGGCCTATTTCATTTAAGGTACTACCAAGACACATGGTTAAGTTTCACCATTCTGTTTTGTAAAGTGCTTCCATTCAAAATTCTGACAAAATATCTCATGAGAAAGGAAAAATATAGAACTAATAAACAAAAGTGAAAGGGAAAGACTTCACACCTCTAGGATTTCTTTGGTAAGACAAGACCCATGAATCCTGAGTTTGAAAAGGTTATGGATCCCAAAAAGCTCTCCCTGATGTTCCTTTGATCCTTGCACTGCCTCAAAATACCGCTTGGCATTTTCACTTCCAACCACCGCACAGTGTAGTTGCTAAAACAGAACAACACAACAGATTTCAGAAGTGTTTGCTCCAACAACATGTCAGAATTTCCTGGCATCTATGTTATATACACAGCTTTAGTTACAGAAGGCAGAAATTCCTAAGGGAGGATATTTTGCTTTAATTTCCCTGGCAGATGATGGTATAATAGACTGTGGTATAGTATGAAGCCGCTTAGTTTTACTGAATAAATGAATACACATCTATTTCAAATATTTTACTTCACTGTTACCTAGTATCAGACACCTACTATAAGAACTACTGACACTTCCTCTGTATCTCGACTACTTATTTTTTTACACAGCCTTTGACATTGTATACTTACTTAGTAAACACTAAACACAGCCACAGGATAAAATATTCAGATATCAATAGAATTAAATTATTATGTACTCTTCCAAAGTAGCTTAAGCAGAAGAGACTAAAAAGCCTTCCACATGAAACAGAAACATGTAAGTAAATAGTTTATCAGGCAGAATTCAAGAATTCTTGAAGTCGGGGAGATTTAGTTTTATACAAATGTCAAAAAATGTGCAGTCCTTGGAATAATCTGTGTATTTGATTTTAAGAAAAAGAATGTCAAAACTATGGTTTTATGAATACCAGAGATGTAATGCTTTTTGTACCTGTCTCTCAGTTGTTGGTAGTACTTGAGCTCTACTCACTTCTTGTTCTAGCATTGAATAGGCATTTTCCTAGACAGCATGTCTCTTAAATTATGTAGGCCAGTAACTATACAACCAAATTACAGTTTAACTTTAGCAACCAAAGTCACAGTTTATATCGTTCTTGAATTATGCACGGTATTCACAAAAGTATACTTCAGGATACATATATAATTTGAGTTTCTGTATTTTAGATTCAATTTTATTTGCGTCAGACACATGGCTAGGTCAGACTACTAAATGAAAACTGAAACACCTATAAAACCCTTTTTATTTAAAATACTTTGTGAAATTTACCTGCTTATAAACTTGACGTAAGTACATCATCTCCTCCACAGTTCCCAAGGATATCAGTCTAAACACTTTAACATCCTTGCATTGACCAATCCTGTAAGCTCTGCAAAGAAAGTGACTTATTAAAAAACATTTTTTTAAATAATTAAAGAATAAAGCAAGCTCGTAGGGCAGTGAAACAAAGATCACCATTCCAACAAAATGGGAATACTCCAAATCATTTATGAGTTACTTTTCAATTTTTCCAAACTCTCTCAGTATTTAATTCCATTTTCATTTATCCTTAGTTTTCCACGTTTCTTCTAAGTCCTATCCAGCTGCAAAAACTTTCATCTCTTTGTATCACAAGGCTTGTCTCTCATTTCTCTAAAAAACACTTCCACTATGTTTTTTCAGGGTCTTTTTCCTCTCCCTCTGCATCTGCTCTTGCACAAGATATTCTTGTATTTGCATTATACATGAGTTAGATCATGGATTACTTGGGGCAGTCTGTTCTTTCTTAACTTTGTAAAGCACTTTGCAAGTTACAACATCATAAAAATAACTAATGAACAGGCAGTAGATTATCTAAATGGCAAATTCTGAGATTTCTAACAAATTATATTCAGAAAATTCAATGCATGAAGTTCATGAGATGCTGAACCAATTTATAGAAATGTGATCTTAAGAAGACTCTTTTAAAGACGGTCCCTTCCAACAACACGCATTTCTGATATATGTATTTCTGTAGGACAGGTGCACATAAACACCTCTTAGATATCAGAAAGATCCTGAAAGCAGAATTACATAATTGTATCGGACAACAAAAAGAAGTTTGTTTCTCCTCGTGAAAATACGCGTATCTACTGAATTTTTAAGGCTTCCAATGATCTTTACTTCCACGATTCAAACGTTTGTCCTGAACTCCTAGGGAACATCCTGTGGTCAAAGAGCCTGGACAGACAAACCAAGATTCCTAGAAAAACTCCACAAAGGAATACTATCGTGGAAGTGAGTGCTGGTAAAAGACTAATCTCCACAAGGGTGTGGTAGAAAAGAACATAAATGTTTTTCTTAAAGGATTCTGGAATTCAAAACATCACTTGAACTAGGGTCAATGACAACGTACTTTGCCCTGACAAACACAGGAAAAATGCCATCCGGCTCTACCCAAGCACTTGTTTTTAGAGATAACAAAGAGTTACAATAACTATGACTTTTTTTTATGAACCAACTGTAACAGTGCCACAAAAATAAAATGGAAAATAAAATACAAGATTAAGATATTAAATAAGATACAAAAATAAGGATTAAAAACAAGAACATCAAAGCTAAAAAAAAAATAATTTAACCAGACATTTCTTACTGTCTTACAGATAAGCCAGACTATTTAAAAAATGTCTTCCCTTAGGAAAATTATAGTTGGACAATTAGATTACACAACCAAAACAAGAGTACAACATAGTTCAAGTTACGCATTTTGAGAATATACCTGTCAATGGCCTGAAGATCATTTGCTGGGTTCCATGTTGGATCAAACAGTATTACAACATTTGCACCCACAAAATTAAGACCCAGTCCACCAGCCCTAAAAACATAAAACAAAACAAACAAAACCAGCAGAATTATGTGATAGCAAGAACAACACTTTTTTTTTCCCCCCAATGTATTAGGTCCATATAAGCATGAATCTTCCTTGCCTCATTAAATCAGCACTACAGAGATACTGGAAATTGGGGAATGGCTTTGTGTTAATGCTGTGTTGACAGCTTTGTGCTAATGTTGAGCTGACTGCCTCCAAGCACTTAAATAACCACTTCTGTGAGATGCAGTCTCCTCACCTAAGTAGCAAGATGACTACGAACTGTATGACCCATTCAGTCACAACCAACTGCTGTGACCTTCACTACAGTAGAAGTACTGACTTCTTCATGCATGCTGAGAGCTACGCAGCCCAATTCCCCCAAGGAGTATACTGTAATTCATAACCATATTTTTAGCAATTAATATTACAGAACCATAACAGAAACAGGAGAAGTATAGCTTAAGCAAAGAGGGACTTAAGCATCTGCATTGAATTTTATTTCCTCTAGTCCCAGTACATGGTCTTAACAATAGTGCTATGCTTCTTGGATTGAACTTGTCAAAATCTAGGGTAAGTTGCATTAGAAGAATGAACAACTTTCACCAGTCTATTTGTACAGTATTTAAGACAACTGCTAAAAATAAAGCTAGCCACACATCTGTGTATGAGCAGTACTCATATACATTACATGTAAAAAAAAAAAGTCCTTGTAAAAAAAAAAAATTTCTACTGTTGGGGAAAAGAGTCGCAGAGGTAGCAGTTAAATCACCATAATTAAATAGCTGTGGCATGATTACAGGTAAAGCCTGCAATCCAGAAGAGAATTAGAATATACATTTAACCTGAGGTAACTACTTAATGCCCTGGCTGAATGCAACAAAACTGCTCAGTTACTTGAGTTTGAAATGTGCATAGCTGTATCAATTGATAGGAACCACAGTGAGGAAAATACAACTTCTCATCCAACTGCAAAACAAGCATATACTGAAAATTCTTTTCCACTGTCTCAACTAATGTTCCTACAGAAAAGGCAAAGACTTTATATAACTATATAACTATATAACTACATGCTAAATGATAGCATTTAAGTACTAGAACAATTGTTTACATTGTCATAGGCAGCACTAATTTGAAAATAGGATTTTCTCAAAGACCTACTGCAAAACTTAAGAGTCTACTCAATTTAGTTTACCAAACAACTGTTTAACAGATTACTTTACATTCTGTTTGTTCAAAGCAGTGAGAAAGATAAAGGTTACAGGGAAGTGAACGAATGGAAACAGAAACCAAAAGCTTACAGAACCCAACCACCTTCTGGTTTACATGGAATATTCTTCTAATGTAAACACAGTTGTGGTCTCTTCCTACTAGGTGTAGTGTGGTGTAGTGTTAATAAAACCTGGAAAGGTTGAGGGTGTAAAAGCCCGCCAGTATTAATGGAGGTTTCTGGAAGATGAGCAATCTCAACATTTGAAACGTTGAATAAAAATCTTTGTGTTTTTCAGAATAATTTACTGTATTTTTGATTTTTGGTGTATTTCTTTTTACTGAGGGTAGAATTCATACTCTCCTCTTATCAAGACAACCATGCGATCAGACTGATGCATAAGTCAACACATGTTTCCAAATGCTTTCTCATAAAAAAATGCAGTAGTTGGAACTGAAATATTAATTCTCAGTGAAAAGCCTCGGTGCAAGTTAAATAGACGAACTGCAAAAAATAACTAAACAGGATACTCAGTGTTATAAAGATTTTACCTTTCAATAATTTTAGGCATGTCACAAAAATTCAGATACTCCAGAACAGAAAAACTATGTCTCCTATATCCTGCATGGACAAAACGAATGCAGTAGCTAGTTTGTGCATTGTAAAAAAAAATCCTCCATTTTAAATATCATTTTAATCAGCTGTTTAAGTCATACTACTGTAAGATGGTCCATGCAAATTAGTATAATATGACTTGAATGAAAAGCCCTTTATTAAGGGCCTTATAACATTTCTATTGCAAACAACTGTTTTCAAAAGATCATTTTATTTAAGACTGCACACTGTGTTTTTTTTTGTATCCTGTCACTGACAACTTAATACCACAATGTTCAAAAGTTACAAAACACTATTGCATTAGGAAGGTTTCCATGAAAGCTGTGACTACTTAGTTCTATTTACTGAGATATGCCTTTTATAGCTTACAAGTTCTGTTTCAGTGAAATCTTGTGGCTGAGAGTTCTTTCAGTGTGATTAAATGCACATAGAGTTATTTGCAAAAGTTGTGAAGGTAAATGAAGCCCTGTAATCACGTCTAAAGCAATGAACAGTCCAGTAATGGGCAGTAATTCTGAACCCTGCAGGCAAAATGGAAACGTATACTATACCTATTCACAATAGAAACCGTCTACAAGTTTCTGTACCCATCATCATCATCTAAGCAAATCTCTCTATATAATAAAGAAGAGAAGGAGGAATAGATTTTCATTAAATTCCTTCAGAATAATTCTAAGTAAGGACTAGCATGGAAAACACAGAGAAAGGTAACTTAGCTGTTAAGGTGCAAATACTTGTTCTTATTTCTTCCAGAAAACTGTGATAGAGCCTTACCACATCAACTTCAGTATTGTCTGTAGGCAGTTTCCTCTCTTTAGGCAAAGGAGCATCAATGAAGTTCTAAGCTCTCACATTCTATCACGTTAATAATTCCAGCAAGTATTTCTAAACTAAACTAAAAAGTACTTCAGGTGGCCAAGAAGGCCAATAGTATCCTGGCTTGAATAAGAAACAGTGTGGCCAGCAGAGCTAGGGAGGTGATTGTCCCCCTGTACTCGGCTCTGGTGAGGCCGCATCTGGAGTACTGTGTTCAGTTTTGGGCCCCTCACTACAAGAAGGACATGGAGGTGCTCGGGCGAGTCCAGAGAAGGGCGACGAAGCTGGTGAGGGGTCTGGAGAACAAGTCTTATGAGGAGCGGCTGAAGGAGCTTGGCTTGTTCAGCCTGGAGAAGAGGACTCTCAGGGGCGGCCTTATTGCTCTCTACAGGAACCTTAAAGGAGGCTGTAGCGAGGTGGGGGTTGGTCTGTTCTCCCACGCGCCTGGTGACAGGATGAGGGGGAATGGGCTAAAGTTGCACCAGGGGAGGTTTAGGTTGGATGTTAGGAAGAACTTCTTTACCAAAAGGGTTGTTAGGCACTGGAATGGGCTGCCCAGGGAAGTGGTAGAGTCACCATCCCTGGAGGTCTTTAAAAGACGTTTAGATGTAGAGCTTAGGGATATGGTTTAGTGGAGGACTGGCTAGTATTAGGTCAGAGGTTGGACTAGGTGATCTTGGAGGTCTCTTCCAACTTAGACGACTCTGTGATTCTGTGAAAAGTACCGTTCTCTTCTTCCAAATAATCATGCGATCTCCCAGCAACACCAGTGCAGAACTGAAGTACTCCAAACCAAATTTTACTTCATGAGCCCTAGAAGTTTCAACAGATCTAAACCTCTTTTTCCATAAAGATTAAGGATGAAATATCATGATCTATATCAACTGGCCTGATGGAATTTGTAAGCTCTGATGAAATCAACCATATTTTCTTTCAACATACAGAGTTTACAAACACTATGAATAGTTATGTGAGTGTGTTTGGTACTAACATTAAATGCAATACCTGAGGTCAAGCTATAGGGATACAACTTCAGTTTTTAACTTTACTGTTTAAGGCTCCATTTCTCAAAAACACAAAAAATCAATTAAAATTTGAATTTTCAAATGTCTATGAACTATACAGAGACAACTCCTGGCAAAAAGGCCATTTTGCTTATATGAAAAATGAGAACACTGTATGTTTAACAGTGAAGTCATCACCACTCTGCAGTGTAACTCATTAATTTATTGATTGGTACTTCCTGTTTAAAGCTGTTAATTGTGTCAGTCGAATAAAATGGCAGACTCAAAATCACTATGCTGGGAATTCATCCTTTGCAGAACACATTTTTACAGCCAAAAGAATGTGTAAGTATTTTTGGTGAAAAACAACATTTGTCTCTTTGAGCAATGGGACAGAACACATACAAATTGACTACAGAGAACAGTCAGCCAAAAACTTTGCAATACAGTATCAACAGAAGAGCATGACCCAATTCTGTCAACATGTTTCAACTTACTATGTAATTAGAAATAAGACAATAATATAAAGCCCTAATGCTTGAAAAATCTGAGTAAAAGGAAAACCTCTTGTATGGTAGAACGGAGACAAATAATTTTCTGATTTCCAAAGGATTACAAAACTTAAGCTGCTTCCAGCACTATGTATCAATCAAGCAAAAAGATCACTTTTTGTCTTTTGTGGTGATTTACACTAAGAATTGCACCTCCTGTTTAACTTAGTAAAGATAGGTTATATTGACTGCAATTCCATCATTGATTGCTCCTTCCATTTACTAAGTTGGGAAATGCTAAAACCACTATCAATCACCACTACCAGGCATAGGCATGCACAGCTCCCCTACCTCAGTATTCACAAGCTCAGTAAGAGAAGGTCCACCTCTATTCACCTAACCTTCAGAATTGTTTCTGTGTAAATTAATAGAGGAGGACTGAAAAAGTTATAGCTACAAAACTGAACTAAGTTATAAGCACAGTAATACCCTGCTGTCTTTGGTGGCAAAGAACAGGGACTCCTGAAGGTCTTAGGGAAGCTGATGGCCAAAATCTGAAGTTACAAGCAAAGGCACATGACCAGCACTACAAATCTCCTCAGAAGCCCCCACACATGCTCCAGGGAGTATCCAAAGACAGTTCTGACACGTGTTTGCAGTGATTTTTAAGATGATTATCTGACTTCTAATTAAACAGAGTTAGTATGGACCCTTCTATTTTACTCCAACACGTATGCTTTTAGCAAAGGACCAAAGTGATGGTACAGATAAAAGCATGTTTGCATGTTACATGGAGTTTCACTTGTGCTGCTGAGCAATGCTGGTACAGCATCAGGACTTCCTCTAACCCTCCAGAGCCAGCAGGCTAGGCGTGAGCAAAAAGAGAGGAGGGGACATCACTGTGGCCGCTGATCTAAACCAACGAAAGGGATATTCCATACCGTATGATGTCACCCCCAGCAATAAAAGGTGGGACGGGGAAGGAGAACAGGGAGGCTTTCATTAGGTAAGCATGTAACTTCCTGTGCAACCATTATGCATTTTGAGGCCTTGCTTCCCAAGACATGGACAAACTTTGCTTGCTGATGGGAAGTAGAGAATAATAAAATTCTCCTTTTGCATCCGTTCAACCTTTACTACCTTTTTTCCCCCTAATATTAGTCCTTAATTAATTAAACCATCTTTATCTCAATCCATGAGCCTTTTTTCAGCAAAATTTTCCCCCTTGGTGTTTTGAGGAGGGGGAGTAAGAGTATTGTAGTGTTTAGCTAGCCTTCAGTATGAAAACACCACATGTGTTTATACCCACTTGCTAGTTCTATTAATAATGTGCAAGAAATGGAGTTGGTCTACAATACAGTGAAAGCTTTTGGTAAATCATGATGTTATGTCAATAACTGTTTTCTCACTCCTACAGGAACTGGAAATTTGAAACTGTAATTCAGAGGATCTCCTTTCTTCAGATCTTAGAATCCCTCAAAAACAGAGGAGATGGGGAGGGCGAAAGCCTCTAGAAATTTTACAATGCCAGAGTCCACAGCAGTAAGTCCATGTTTGCCAACAAACATACTTCGCTTTCTCCAAAAAGTTATCCCTCACAAGATCATAAAGCAAAATCTAGAACAACCTATTTTTTACACAGTACAACATCTGAGTGAAACAAAAACATAAGAAGTTAAATTATCTTACATTGTAGATACTAGGCATATGTTAATTTCTTGATTTTTGTTGAATTCTCTTACGATTCTCATTCTATCTTCTGATTTTGTATTTCCATCAAGTCTTCGGTAATCTAGCCCAGACGCCATACAGTACTGCTCCAGCACATCTAGCAGCTGGGGGGGAGAGGAGGAAAGGGGAAGAAAAAAGATCAAGTACTCATTGGTATCTTTTCAATTACATGTAATCACTAGTGCCTTCTTTCTTGAATATTTCCTATAAACAACGGAATAAAAATTAGAGCAAATCTTCCACATTTTGGTATCAGAGCCCTTGACTTTCTATAGCTGTGATTCTACAGCACTCTAAGGCGATTAATATTGGTCTGCTAGGGTCTCATACTTCCACTCTGTCTGTCTGTCCCACCTCTACATGATGCTGAGTCAGTTCACCTCAATAAGCTGATAAGAAACTTAAAACAGTTTCCTACCATCTTAGCAAGTTAACGTGACTTTAGGTATGGTAAATAAGCACCAGAGACAACACAGAGAAACAGGTTGGTATGCAGTCAGAGTTTAAAGGCATGGAGTAGAATAAATTGCAGTAACCAACAGACTTGTCCTGAGCACTGAACCACAGCTTAAATCACCTAAACATTAACTTGCAATCTTCCTTACAGCCACAAAGTGATTAAATATTTAAGACTCTGAATTGTCATTCAGTATTATAATGCCTTTTCTTTTTAGTGCTATCATTACAAACATTTAAAGAAACCAATGTTATGGATTGCACCACTTCAAGAAACTCAGTATTTCCTGACAAGAAAATTATAGAGCAAGTCTCTAAAAGCAAAGTGCAAATACCACTCTGGCTCCAATTAAACAGCCTTAAGCTTAAAACAACTGGTTTGGTGTTTCAGTCTCAAAGCTGAAATTTGAGTACTGCTGATGGTCAAAAGCCAGCAAAAGAGGAAATTTAAGTACTTTGCAGAGCTAACACAACAGTTGTATGATACTTCAGTCATACTCTGCAGTGATGCTGCTCTAACTCAAGATGCACCAACTGAATTCAGTATTAGCCAAATATACCTCAAGTACTAAAACAAATCTAAAAAGCTGTAAGGAAGTAAACAGAGGCTTATGTCTATTTTGCAATCAGTATTTTCATCATGAGATAACATAAGGTTTCAACACGCTTCTAGAGTATTGTCTGCTGTCCTTCTCTATCATCATTTCACACTGCACAGAGAGAAAAAAAAAAGGCGGTTGAATACTGTTTATGTCCTTACTGCTTTACACATCAGAACTTGCTGCTGTGGCTAATCGAGAAAAATCATAAGGAACTCACCTTTGTAGAAAAGGAGAAAAGAAGAACTTTGTCCTTGTTTTTTCTAAAGTGATTTAAGAGCTGCTGAAGAACCTACAAATGAACCACAGAACACAAGTGAAGAGATTTCATCTACAGGTCATCTCAGATGCACTCAGTTGTGTTTTCAGACTTTAAACATGCTACACTAATTGTTTGCAAAGCCAAACAGCAGCATTAACAAAATAGTTTTTTTAAAGTAACATAACAAAAATTTGAAAGGTAACAGACATGTTGAATGTATTCATTTTCCATTAAGTATCTCCACGGTAATCATACCATTAACAGGTAAATTCAGAAGCTATTTGTATCAGTGCATAGGCTGCAACAAAATGTTACTTATCTCACACTAGGTCAGGTCGTGAATTCTTGCTTTTAACAAATGTGCAGAATTCCCCTGAAAACAGGAAGGCCTGTTTAAGTTTTCTGCACTACATCTGAGTTCAGAACTTCTTGTAACTTGTCTTCTTAAAATAAGCAGTGAGACATATGCCCCTCCCCACTCCCACTCTTGTCTGTTGCTCTGTTTACAGTAGGATCCAGCTTCCCAGACTATGCACAGACATTGAAATGCCAATAATCCGCCCACACACAATGTTCTTCTGGTGGGGAAGCAAATAATCTAGAGCCGTGTGTATAATAGTGATACTGTTATTTTCAAAAGAAGCATGTCCACATCTGGCAATGGCAGCTCCAGAGTACTGCGTAGAAGCAATACACGGAGGGGAAAGAGGAATTTTTTACACCATGTCTGTAGTTTTCTCCCACTGGGCAATAAATATTTAAAAACTTGTGTTTTGTTTTCTTCTCCCACTGATAAATACTTACACTTTTAATTCACTCTAATTTCACTAGAAGCCTAACAAATCTTTGACAAGCAAATAATGAGGAGTGTTTATATTAATTTTACAGTTCTGGACAATATCTAAAATATAAGACAGCCATTCTACATAATTTATAAACCCATTTGTATATAATAGCCAGCAAGTTACAAGTGAAAACAATGTAGAACAGGATGTTTTACAATTAAACCAGGCAAAAATAAAAATATAAAACTGGATTTATTTTATTAGGAAAAAAAATCACATCAGGTCACAGCAAGAGTCAAATGACTTACTTTTGCATTTTGTCTAGTTAAATTAAAAAACAAAAAAAAACAAAAAAAAACCATGCTTTTAAAGCAGAAGGAATTTGGTTACTGTAGTTCTGTTATTATCAGAATAAAATATAGGTCAAATAATTTCCTATGGGAGAACATAAAAACAAATCCACCCAGTTTGTTTAAATAAATTGGATCAATGTCACGTCCATGGGGATTTTAGCTATTCTAGATCATAAAGAACACTGAAAAGTAATGAATGATTTTACACCAAAGAGAAATAAATTCTATGCTTGCACATCAAAGTATTATTCTGAAATCTGGTAGCTTGAAAAAGTAAATAATTGTTCATGAAAAATAATAACTGATTGTTCCAAAACAAAATTATTTTTGTATGAGTCCATGTAAATTTACATCACTACATATTGTGAGTTGTTTGACTACGATGAAATTTTGCCGATCATATCTGAGAATTCTTACATATACATGTCCATACTAAATTACAAGATTTTTAAGCCTTCAAAACAACGTGTACTTGGGCTACGTTTATATTCAATAGTGGAAGTCACTGTTATTTGCAAGGTACTCTCCACAGATTTCCATATTCCTACTAAAATAATGACAATACGTTAAATAGAAGTAACTACAGAGGATTAATTTAAGGGTTTTATGTTAAGAACAGTATTCCAAAACTCCACAAATGGATGCCTGTGGAAATATATATGTGTATCTTTAAAAAAAGTGCCATTTCAACTGCTCAGACATTTAATAGCCCTTCACACTTCAAAAATATATGAATCCTATCTTAGACAGGATTTTAGCAAAACTATAGAAATTATCAGACAAGATAGCCTTGAGGATTACTGCATGCTTTAAAATTACTTCTCCTTTCATTTATCTTACTTCTTTTTCCAAACAGCTTTTGTATGGAGGCAGAAACTGTAATTTGCAATCTTCGCTTTTCAGATGTAAAAGTGTAATTTGTCCTTATGGTCTGTAGTTCCCAGCTTTTTTTTTTTTTCACTTCATGATGGAAAAGCAGTGGTTTCCAAACTAGGCAGCACACCCCTTTTACTTCCATTCTCATATATTCAACTACTTCAGCTTAAGTATCTAGGCATGAAATTTACCTCTGCAAAACAGTTACAGCTACTTTGCTAGCAGTTGTAACTGTTTTGAACTTCATTGAAGAATCCATGCCTTTTTCCTTTCCTCTCTGGAATAAATTTAAAGTAAGTGGCACAAACTTTTCCTGTGCAAATATGCTCAACTGCAAAAGATGAATCACCTGTGCCAAAATTTCCGAGAAGTACATACTAAAGTTTAATTAAAAGAACTAAATAATACCTACTGTGTCTATGCTACCAGATGAAAGTTCTAATAACATTTCAATTAATTTCTAAAATGTATCTATAGAACAGAAAAGTAGAGCTACTACAGTGGCACAAGGATATTAAAGACGTTTTCTGTAATTAGTAAATATTCTATTTCTCAATAAGCATGTTAAAAATATGTAAAGTAGTTTTCAAGCTCTAATATCTGATGACCCTCCTCTCTGCACTTTCTGACGGTAAGAGGTCCTTCTAAATGAAAGGTCCTCAAAATGAGTCTGCTCAGAGAATCTAAAAAAAATAATCTAAAACAGCTTCTGCTTTAAAAAAACATCAGTATAGAAAACAAGTTAGACAATCTTGTCTCAGAAAACAAACCTCTACTGCAATCAGCAGCAGTATTTGGGCCCTTCAGTACAAGGACATCGTGGCCCTGGAGCATGTCCAGAGAAGGGCTACAAAGCTGGTGAAGGGTCTGCAACACAAGTCCTGTGAGAAGCGGCTGAGGGAACTGGGGGTGTTTAGTCTGGAGAAGAGGAAACTCAGGGGAGACCTCATTGCTCTCTACAACTAACTGAAAGGAAGTTGTGAGAACCTGAGGGTTGGCCTCTTCTTGCAGATAACTAGTGACAGGACTAGAGCGAATGGTCTCAAGGTGCGCCAGGGGAGGTTCAGGTTGGAAATTAGGAGACATTTCTGCTCAGAAAGAGCAGTCATGCATCGGAATGGGTTGGTTGCCCAGGGAAGTGGTGGAGTCACTGTCCCTGGGTTGTTTACCCCCAGTACCAGATACACATGGACCAATTTTTGCCAGTAAAATTATTCTGAAGTAAAATTCAATGGTCTCAAAAACCCTTGTTTTTCAAAAATGGCTACTTGGCCCACAACATAAAACTTCTCTTTCCAGGCACTGAGATACCATCACATTCTTCAGAATATTCAGACATATTTCCTGAATTAATGCATAGTAATTCTAAAAAATTCGATACAGTTTGCAATACACCAAAACAGGTACTACAAATTTCCAAATGAAGCATCACATAGACGAAACCAGAGGTCATCAAAAACGCAAAGCCATACTATAAATCTACTGGGCTGTCATAAATGCAGCACTTGAAAATTCATAAAGTAAAAAACAAAATAAACATGCAAGAACCCCTTGTAATAATAGATCAAAAGATTGTACATCAGCATAACTTCAGTGCCTGGTAAAATTATGGAGAAGATTGGTTTGGGAGTTATTGAAACACACCTAAAGTACAACACTGTCATTGGTCAGAGGCAACATGGGTTCACTAGGAGAAGTTACATGTATGTCTAACAAATTTAATTTCTATGACAAGATCACTCAGCTAGTTGACCAAAGGAAGTCAGTCAATGTAATCTTTCTGGATTTCAGTTTGGCTTTTGATACTGTCTGTCCTCTGAGAGACAAAACGGACATCCTTCTGGACAAAATGACCAGATTGCTGTTAGATAAAAGCATAATAAAATGGGTGAACAATTGGCTCATGGGTTGGGCCCAGAGTTCTTGTACATAGGGTCACATCAGGCTGGCGACCTGTCACTAGTGGGGTTCCCCAGGGCTCTATTTTAGGACCAGTCCCTTCAATGTTTTCATAAGGGTTTTGATAAAGGACCTGAGGGTTTTTTGAGCAAGTTCACAGGCAATATCAAATTGGGTGGACTCTGTTGAGGGCCTGAGGCCTTGCAGAGAGATCTGGACAAATTTGAGAGCTGGGCTATCACCAATAATATGAAGTTTAGCAAGAGCAAGTGCTAGATGCGTTTGCTGGAAGTGCTTGCACCTGGCAAGGGGCAACCTTGGGTGTATGTACAGGCTGGGGGATGAGAGGCTGGAGAGCAGTCCGACAGAAAGGGATCTGGGGGTTTTGGTCAACAGCGAGCTGAACATCAGGCAGCAGTGTGCCCTGGTGTGCAGGAAGGCCAATCACACCGTGGGGTGCATCAGGCACGGCACTGTTACCTTGTCAGGGACATGACTGTCCTGCTCTACTCCGTGCTGGTATGGCCTCACCTTAAGGTACTGTGTTCAGTTTTGGGTGCCACAATTCAAGACAGACATAGAAACAGGCTCTTCACTGAGAGGGTGGTTGGGCACTTGAACAGGCTCCCCAGGTGAGTGGTCACGGCACTGAGCCTTCTGGAGTTCAAGAAACATTTGGACAATGCTCTCAGACACATGGTCTGATTTTTTTTTTTGGGGGGGTGATCCTTTGGAGACCCAGGAATTGGACTCGACAATCCTTGTGGGTCCCATTGAACTCTGATAATTCTATGATACAATAATTATAGTTTCTTATGGTGGAGGAAAGAAAGGTCCACGTTGCTTTGCACTTTTGCCTACTACTAATACAATGTCTACAACTAGTACAAAAAGTCTAAGCTGACTTTTTTTTTTAAGAAGATCATAGGGTAATAAAATGATCTGTGAAAAACACTTCAAAAACATTTTCTTACTTTTCCACAGCATTTTATATTGCACTTACCTCTCATCTACCAAAAATACTGAAAAAATATTTTTCAAAATAAATGTTTCAAAAGCAAAAGACAGCTTTAAAAACCTAGTTTTCCATAAATACTTAATATACACTGCACTTTTTAAAAATTTAACTTCTCCATACTAAGACCCTCCTTGTGAACTTTTTTTCCCCCCCACATTTACCTACAGTCTGTTTACCTCAAAATATATGAAGATTGATCTGTATGGACTTATCACATGCTAAAAGGTCAAAAATGAAATAAAAAGCATAATATAGTAGGTGAGGAAAGTCTCTAGTGAGACACCTCAGCAGTATCAAGCCAACAATGAAGTTAACTTTCATGAGATAATTAACTGTATATTGTCAGATACAGGCCTCTCTCATGTATATAGTAACAGAAAAAGATGTTGCTTGCATAACAACAAATCAATATAGTGATCGTAATCATCACTGCTAAAAAATGTGACTTTGTTCTGCCTCCCTCCAGCCCCAGTGAGCAGTTATAAACAGCCTGGTTTATAAAGAAAGCAAACATACAGCATACCTCACTCTGAATAGCTTTTTATTCACTATTTATTGTTGTCTCAGAAATACTCCTAAACCAGGTATACTTTTCTTTTTAATTAACTACAGTAAACATTTTTTTCAGTTATTCATTCCCCTCTATAACGAACCAGGAAAACTCACAGCTCCTGAAATGAGGTGTTTTACAGGTTTACACTGAAGATGTTTATTTTGATCATCTTTAGGCTGGATCCTATGAGTTTCATTCAACGCCCCAAGGATTAGAAAAGACAATAAATACTCAGTACATCTTCACTAGCTCCATGCCACTTATGATTGTGTAGAACTCTATAAATTGAAATTTTTTCCAGTTTGAAGAGTCCCAGCCCACTTGGTTCCTTCCACCCATTAGCACTGACCACCTTTGTAACCCTCCTCTGAACCTTTTCAAGGTCTAACACATTTTTTGAGAGAAGGGACTGAGATAGCCAAAATACTAAAGGAGGCACAAGTCACTCAATTCATAATAATTTACTTTTGCTCTATTTCCCTTTCCTAAGTATTCCTGACTGGCACCAAGTTGTTGGTTTCATAGAACCATCTGTCATAACCCCAAATTCTGATTCTTGAGTGTCAGGGTCAATTCAGTGCCCATCACTAAATGTGCAAAGCAAGTATTTCAGGATATCAGTCTTCGCATCACAAATTACTCTTTTCCAGTCTTTGTATGATGCAATCCTGATCCAAAACAAGTGATCTCTGCAGTGCCACCACCACCACAAAAAGAATAAGTAAGACAAAAAAAACATTAAGTGTACATTTTATTACACCCATACACTGTGACAGATCTATTATTATCAATACTTATTTTTCCTCTAAAGAAAAGGTTTACCTTCATTTTTCCACTGTACTTTGGATCAGAAATTGTTTCAAAGGCTGCATCTTTGCTTAACTGCACAAAATCTGGAAAACTGGAAAAGACCTCGCTGCACACCCGTTTGATATGTGCTTCCTGAAAGAAAAGCAGGAAGTTTGAATAGGCATTAAAAGTCACAGCTGCACTAGCTAACAGTAAGCCATGAAAGGAGTCAAAGAGGCTGAAACAATCTGCTGAAGCAACTCTACCAGAAGGAGTTATGTATTTTTATTCAGTTTGGTACAGAAGTATTGGATCACTCATCTCCTGTGTGTTTTGGTTTGCTTCATTTAAAAAAGAAGATCCTATGTGAAAGGAAACAATCCAGTTGCTAGAATAAGAGATGGTGAAAATTTCTTCTCTGGGGCAGAGACTGTAACAGGACTCAGCTTAAAAAACTCTTCACTTGGTGTTTGCATGACCCAATAGTTCTGTACCAGAACTTCTCCTGTATCTGTTACTGTAATTGCATTTCTACAGTCCCACTGATATAAAAGAACACAGTATGGGAACTGCAACTAAACTTCTCAAAAGCCAAATAAAACTCTATTGCTAAAATTTGGATAGATCACACATGTTACATCTCTGTTTCCAGAGGAGCGGAAAACATCTAATCTGTCAACTAAGAATCACTATGAAATGTTTTCACAGCAAGAACTACATATGCAACACACAAAAAACACGTGCGTATTAACTACATATGTCTCTGGGCACTAACAGTAACACTTCCTAAAAAACAAAACCTTTTTGATAGAACAAACTTGCCAAAATTTGCTAGGACTTTCTCATTTCCTTCCCTTTGTGGTTTCTGAGAGGAAGTGATAACATCCCTGATACCTTTGATTGTTTTGGGATATTAAGGTGCACTAGAAGTATTTTTTAAAAACCTCTGCCTTTTGTGGTTACTTGCCATAGTAACAAGAGAAACTGATACTGTTCTCCCCTTGTTTTGCCAAAACATTTCTCATATTATTTACAGAAGATCATCTCTGAAAATAAAATTATAGAGAAAAATATAAATAAGCAATTAGAATGTGTTATTTGTACAAAGTAAACACTCATAATAGTAAACACTTTGTAAACATTTCTAATAATGCTATTTCTATTGCATTTATGAGAAATCACTAAAATGACTCTTTCTCCAAGAGTTCTTCAATTTTAATATAGACCCTGTTTCCAGATAATCAACTATATCAACATTCCACTGTGTGCCATCTCTATCTACTAAATAATGGCTGCTTTCTAAGTTACTGAATGGCAAGAGAATTTTGAAAAATATCTGAATTACATTTAGTTAAGACAGAGACAGAAGACAGCAGAAACTTTTATTCAAAAGTTTTCACCCTATTTTCCACAAGTTCAACTGTTTAAAACTTCTGAAACTAACCTGTTGCTTGCTAGCGTTGTCTGTTTGCAGCAGTGCAGCATGATTTGCAACTTTCTGTAGGATTGTCAGATAGCTGAAGCGCAGTGACTTAATTGTTTCACCATAAGCATTCGCCTACAAGAAACAAACAAACAACAATGCTTGATGCAAACAAATACACTTGAAAATAAGAAAAGCTAAAAAACCGTTCTAACAAGGTTCAATGCATTAGCAATTCTGCATAGCACTAAAATTGATTCCAAACCAATGCATTCTGTATTTCTAAGAAAAATGCATTAAGTTTTCATTCCTAGCTTCATGGTCCTTTTAATAAAAAATGTCTTCTCAAAACGAAAAAAAAAAAAGCCATGTTCATTCTTTGCTAACTACTTCAGATAGCATGATATCTGCAGAAATTAATATAACCAAGAATTCCTTGGTAGGCAAAAAACCAGTAACCTTACAACTGATGTAAATGCAAATCAAAGTAGAGTTGTTTGAATGACTTCTTACCCTACAACTGCTAATTTTACTGTAAAAACTTATAAGGTTTCACAAACAACTAAAGTAACATAATTCAAACAACTTGAAATGTTCTACAATGCAGCAGCAACAGCAGCAGGTATTTTTCTGATTATGGTTGGCTGTTTTGACCAATACTAGTTTTCCTTTCCCTGCTCAGGTTACTAAATTTCATTATTAACTTTGGAATAAGTCAGTCTGTAAGACCTCTCAAGTATTCCCAGACTTGCCTAATGCCCTGTGTGAATCACATTCTACAGCATTTTACTTTTTTCTATAAGACATCACACTAAACAAGAGCTTGCAAAGAGCTAATGGCACTATTCATGGCAACTTAAATGGGCTGACATTGTTTTTAAATCAAGATGCAGAAGACTAAAACTACATTAGTTGAATGGGAAACAAACAAAAAACAAAAACCCAATGCTCAAGAATCTAAATAGGCCAGAAGTTAAACAGGGAAAAGCAAGTGTGAGATATATACTCCTATGTGTTTAAAATATTTCCTTAAACTGAGTCTACTAAGAGATACAGAGAAAAACACAAAGCTGGGTTAATCAACGTTAAAGAAGAAGGAAGAAATCTGCAGAGCTGTTCCTAGTGAACAACATTCTGCTTGCGTTGTAAGGTTTGTCACAGTTCTCCCTTCAGTAAGGTAAATAAAAGCACATGTATAGTGGCAAAGAAAGACATGATCTAACTGTAGTCATGACACAGCCAAAGCCCAGACAATCTGCTGGGTCCAGGTTGTCTCTAATTTGTATCTTCTGCACTGACCAGTTAAGGTGCATGGTAGCAACATACTTTACACATACTGAACATCCCAATGTATTACCCTTTCCAATGTCAACTGTATCACAGACATACTTAATACAACTTTACTATACAAGTTGTATACAACTTTACTAAAGTTGTATTAACCAAATTTACTGTATTAATAATGACTACCTGCAGGGCAGCTAACTGCTTAGTAAGGCAGCTAGCAAAGCCCTAACTTTGCTAACTCCAATGCCCTCACTCCAATGTTTCTAGTCAGATATCCCAAACTGATGGCCAGACAGCCACTTCAATCTGCTCACCTTCAGCAGGGAACCTATTGAGAAAATCCATCTACTACTCAAGTATGCAAGTCTTATGTTCTAAAATTCAGACAATGCAAATTCTTACTTTGTAACAACAGTTCTTCCTTTTACGGCCGCTGTTGCAGTTACAGGGCTCTCCTGCTCTTAATATTAAGCTTACATCCTCTGTCTCCAGCACAGCCTGGTATATTGCTTTCTGGAATTCTGTCAGGGAACAGTACACCATCTGCCAAAGAGAAAACCCCAAAAATACTATTACGAGCAGCAAACAATAAAAGCAAAGAGCATTGCATCAAGAATGCTCTGGAACTAGAGTAGAAAACAGTAATATATTTGCCCAAGTAGTTACAGGAATTTATTCTACCCCCCCCCCCCCCCCAAAAAAAAAAAAATAATCTGCATTTTGACACAAAAGTAGTATGAAACGGTATCCAAAACATACATAAAGTTGTTTCATCCCTTCCCAAAATTCTACAAAGAATACAAATGTCAAGCTACAATAACTTGCAGTTAGGTTTCTATAAACCTTTCAGTAGGGCTTTTGTGGAAGGACAGGAGGAGGGAAGAGTGAGAGAGAGAAATGCGTAATTGTAATTAAGGATTCCCCTGTGCTTTGCCAGTTGCTTAGTTTGCCCTTTCCTCTTCTTAGGCACTAGCTGTTTGTAGGGCAACACCACAGGCAGCACAAACAGAATAAGCACAGAGAAGGCAAGGATCTACACAGTGCTATGGCCAAAACTCTTATCCCTCCTCTCAGAGACCATGGGTGGCATCTCCATGACATCTTTAGTCTTAACCAGCAGGAGACAGAAATCCCAAGATCATTCCTTAACCCAGGCCACCCACAAAGCAACAGCAGCATGCTGAGCTATAATAATACAGCAGTAACTTGAACATATACTCACATTAACAAGAGAATGAAAAGAATAAAACCTGCTAGATTTAGAAAGGCAACTGACTGACATTTGTGTTAATCTTTCCTTTAGAAGACAGTTTAGACAACATTATTATAACCTAAGGATGAAAAACAAATGCCAAATTTTGAAAACAAAAACATTTTCAAATTAATGCATTCATCTACTTAGAAGGAAATATATCTAATAAGAATTAATTAGAACTCTTAGCTATAGAGTATTATTACTGTTTATATGACGTTTGCAATAGCACTAGATGAACAGGATTACAGACCTAATAATCATTATTTTTAGTTTGGGATTTTTTCTTCTACTTAATGATTGACAATGAGAGTTAGAAAAGATTAAAAGCAACCTGTTCTACTTACAATATATCAAGTTGCAAATTCAGAAGTCCTACATCAAATTTCAAGAGATTTACACACATTGTATTGGGTTTGCAACGATAAGCACAGAAGTGCACATAAAATAGATGTGTAAATCACTAGTCAGAAGTCTAGCTGAGCATTTTCATGCTTGATTAACTCCATTTCAACATGCAATCATAGTAATTATGTGAACAAAGCACACTACTGCATGTGCATTTTTTTTCCAAGGCTCTGGATTCTTCTTAAATTCATAAGTCCAAAAGAAAACCATGAACTAGTAGAGGCATGACAAAAGAGAGAACAACAATAAAGAAGAGAAATATTCATTAGCATTGTATTTGAAATGTACAGGCGCTCTTACTCTGTCTTCCTTTTTTGGCAATTGATCACTGATAAGTGCTTTAGTACGTCTCAGAAACCAGCCGGACATCTTTCTTGCTAGCTTCGCCATGGCCTTACGACCTGTTGCTAGCTCTCTTTTAGTTGCAGTGTGCCTCTGACCATGCTCCACTGGATCAGAAAATTTCTTCTTGAAATGCATTCTACTACCCAAAAGTCCTGGTACAGCCCTGTTAAAAAAAAAAAAAAAAAGTAGGGAAAAAAAGAGTGGGGCAGGGGGGTTGGTCTCGAAGGAATAGCAGCGTTTTCTTTACACCAAGACTGCCCATCCCTTTCCACTGATTAAAGAAGCATACCATACATTGTTTTTGGCTAACAGCAAGAGAGTTAAATTAGCAACCAGTAAGGAAATGAATAAAAGTGGTGTATGTAAATAGAAACATACACTACTTCCAGACATTCAAATTTTTTCGTTTACTTATTGTGATCCTCAAATTTTAAAGAGATTCCCCTTAGGAAAAGGCATGCCGTCTCCAGAAATCTACAGCTCAGCAGACCAAGTCACAAGCATACAGAAACTCCAAACTCCAAGGCTGCTCCTGTTTAAGAGCTTAAATAGGAAGCTAGACTGTCACATTTTCAATGTTTACCATTTTTACTAAAAACAGGCTATATAGATACTACAATTTACAGAATAAAATTCCAAGAAACCCAACAGAAACATGAATTTAGTAATCACTGGTATCACTATATATTGGAACAACCCATCAACAACATTGGCATAGTTTTAATGGACCACATACAACACTAAGCTTAGCATTAAAGAATTTCTTTCCTGACATTTCAACTTCAGCCTGGATTTCCTTAAACCTAAAGAACGTTTCCTTTGTTTTTCCTTTGTAAAGTATTGCCAGTAAAGCTTCTATGTTTGGATTTATATCTAGGAGGATTTCCACCTCTCTCTCAAAAGTTTCCTTGGACAAGACTGTTGCGTTGTAAAATCTGCACTAGTTCATTTTGAAAAGCAGCAAAATATTATTACTTTCAAATTCCAAGTATGTCAGAATGACCTGCACATATTGGACAAAACAAAGGCATGATGTCATTCAAAGCTGTGTAATCATTCTCAACCTAGTGTGTGGAAGAGAGAAGAGAAAAAAAAAAAAAAAAGAGTCCTTAGAAAAGAAAGAGAAATGAAAGGGAAAAAAACAACAAACAACTAAATGCTTCCCAAATTCCTCAAAGAAGTAATCATAGAATAGAATGAATCACAGAATGACTTGGATTGGAAGGGACCTCAAAGATCATCTAGTTCCAACCTCCTTGCCATAGGCAAGGATGCCACCCACTAGATCAGGTTGGTGGCCTCAGGGCCTCATCTAACTCGACCTTGAATACCTCCAGGGATGAGGGCATCCACAATCTCTCTGGGCAACCTGTTCCATTGCCTCATCACCCACTAGGGAAGGTTAAGAGGAACTCCAAATCTATTAAACTCCTGCAAAATACGTATTACAAGCGGACCTAGCAAGAGTTTACTTCAAATTCATATATGGAAAAATATTTACATTCTCACAAATACGCTGTCTTTTCTTGTCTTGTCAGAGACAAGTCCAAATCCAGCTCTATCCCAATCCCACTACATAATTAAGATATACAGGTGTTTTACCATAAAAAAAAAAAGGTACTTTATTTACCAGTCCATAACACACCACAGTTCCTTCATATTGTTTTGAAGAATGGTTCCAGTAAGGCCTATGCGAACACTGCATTTTAAGGACTTCATGGTTTGAGTTATTTGAGCCTTTGGATTCTTGATTCTATGCGCTTCATCCACTATGACAGCAGACCACTCTACACTGCAGAAGAGCAGAAGAAATACTGTCTTAACTGAAACTACGTATCCCATCACTCCACATACACATAAAAATTGACATCAGTCACACACATAGCCCTGATAATTATAGCCTAAAAGTATGGTTTTTTTTTTTTGTATTTTACATTGTGTTATACAAAACAGTTTCCTCATATTCTGTTTGTTTAGTAAATTTAATTGCCATAGTTAAGTATAACAGCTAAAATTCTTAGACAAACAGATGAACCAACGTCAACTGTATCAAACGTTTTCTGTGAAGAAAGCTTTCCATTTCCGGAGCAATCAACTACAGCACATCTCACCAGCACTATCAATCAGCACATCTTACCAGCGCTAATTCCACTCATTAAGAAGATTTAGAAATAAACTGAATAAATCTCTTACTGTGAACTTCTGAACCATGACTAACATAGGTATACCTCATTTTTTCCTCCCCAAAAAACTATCCACTGTAACTAGGAATAGACTCAAAGCATTTCTAACTGCAGTTTCCTAAATGAAAGCATCACACAACTTCTTCAGTATCTATAAAAAAACAATATGGCAGAGGTGTCTTAGAATTTCATGATTTTGAGACCAAGAGGCAGAAGGATGGACTGAATGAGACTTTGCAACCAGTTCAAGTATAAAATTTGAAGGCAAAATGAACTGTATACTGTGATGTAAGTTTAAAATCATCAAGTCCTTAGGAAGAAATTGAATAATTTTATAAGATTGCTTTATATACATGAACGAATATTTCAACTAAATTATTTGTTATTTGAAGCAGCAAAAGGCTGAAGCAGACACACTTATATAAAACCTTTTTCCTGAGCGGGTCTTATGCATTTTACGTGACTACTGTGAAAATCATCTTGTAACATTTCTGATGCCTACTAAATACTCACATCCAAGTTTCTTACATTCCTAAAGTCTGCTAATAACTTAATTTACATGAAGAATGGAGTCTATGTATTCTATGTATTCTTTCTCTTTACAGAACTTCTATATACCCAATCTAAAGCTTTGCTAACTTCAAGGATATGAAATTAGCTATGAAGAGCTTTCACAGCTAATCTACTTATTACAGAAGCGTGAAAGTCAACTAGAGAACTTAAGAACAAAATCTTGTCAAGCCATCCTTAATAATAATTACTTAGAGCCAGTCTGAGGCCAATCCATCATTCTAGCTAAGCATGACACTCTCAGTGTCAAAAGAGTATCAAGCCCATCTAGTCACATGCTCTGCAGAAATGGTTTGGTAAATCCATACACTAAAGCGATGTATTTATTCACACATGGGACCTCCTGTGCTGACATGGGCTATTCAATCTCCAAGTGTGAAGAGTTCCTCAGAAAGACAACAGGAAGAAGAGAGGGTACTGCTAGCATTACTCCTTTAGTCTTCTCCTATCTGCACTTCTTTTTCAGCCCTGCAGATAGATCTTTGGAGATCAGATTGTTTTGGTGATGGCTGTCCAGAACAGCAGGACACACAGGGCCCTGGGCCTTTCCTATCACCTGGCATAAGAAGGTCTGCAAAGCCACTGACAAACAACTCTAGCTGCTAAGGGCAGGCTGCTACTACTAACAGAGAGCTGTTCATGCAGCTTGTACCCTACTAAGATGAAACAGGGAAAGACGACCACTAGGATCAGGCGAAAAGCTAAGTACTCCCAAATATAACAAAGGGAAAGGCAAAACTCCTCATTTAAAACCACTGGCAACCATGAGACAAACAAAGTAGGACTTCTAATATGATCTAATCTCATAAAGACTTTGATTCAGCTAAGTTGATTGTGTATTTAAAACTGGACACCTATATACTTTCCCTTGTATATCTAAGTTTTTAGGACTCAGGCATTTCATCAAGCAGGTGAAAAATACAAATAAAAAGGAAAATACCTTGTGAACATTTGATAAAAAATTCCACACCTCTTTTTCCTTAAACTGTATTGAAAGACAGAAATATCTTCTGCATATCTTTATCTACCACTGTTTCAGGAAGGCAATTCCTGCAGTTGTTAGAGAACACTTCATGAATGGGTTAAACAGCAAGGACAAGTTTTATGAAAACTATTCAAACACTTCTCCCAAGCATCCTATTACAAAGAAAGTATAGGGTAAACTCTCCAAAGACATTTAAGTGGGATTCACTTCTTCCATGCAATGAGTCACTGGATTTTAACAGTAAATACATCACACATTAGAAATATGTACTTTCAAGGAGTAACACAGAATAAAACGGGCATTTAAAGCTGCATGTGTAGAAAAATGCATTAAAATAATTACCTGTTAAGTTCATCTAAATACAAGCGAAGTGTCTCATATGTTGTAAGGGCAACTTCACATTTCCCCTGCTTGATGCGGCTCAGGTCATCATCCTTTTTACTGCCATGTAAGATGGAGACTTTGAAGTACCCCCATGTGTCTAACTCATCCTTCCAGTTGTACAGCACTGAAAGAGGGGCCACTATGAGAAAAGGCTGAAAACAAACAACCATCATAGTATTACTGAAAATCTTTAGCACAAACCTTTCTCAATAAGGAGTATCAAAATCTTGAGATTTATTTTACTACTTCTTAGTTTGAACTGTTTGTTCTGTCACTTCAAAGCACAATATAGAAAATATCTGAACAGTCAATATAAATTCAAAAGTAGTAAGTTTACTGAGTGTGCAAATACTACATGAAAAAAAACCACTGTAATGGTACAAAAAATAGCCAAAGTAGTACTGATATTAATTCAAATTATCAACTGCAGTAAGACATGATATACTATCACACTGCTTTCTTATAGCATCTGCATCCATATACCATGTAATGTTTTACAGATGCTAAAAATAGAAGATTGAAGAAGAAAGCAGCTTCCTCCAATCCATAATTTGGTTAATACATGATTAAAACAGAAAGCATAAAAAAAAATAAATTTTAAGACAATCTGTATGACACATTTGTTATCACAGAAAAATAACATCAGTGAGATGGGAAGGGACCTCATGAAGTCCTAATCCAACTTCCTGGTCAAAGCAGAGGCAACACTGAATCCAGACAAGGTCATTTATAGCTTTTCCCACTCAGGTCTTGAAAACACTCAAGGGATGGACCTTTCTCTGTGACCTGTTCCAATACTTTGTTGCCCCTAGAGTAGAATTCTTCTTGTCCTGTAGCCAGTCAGAAGCACCCCTGTCTTCTCACATTACATGCTACCCTTCCACCTCTTCTTGCTTGCCTGAATTTCTCAGTGAACCCATAACCATTGTTCACAAAGCGATCGTCATACAGATCGTTCTGGTAGTCAAGATATTCTAGTCATTCCAATAGCATAAGCATTGAACAACAGAAATTGCATGGGTCCTCTGACGTGTAAGATTACAAACGTCCTATTTCTCCCATTCACACAGAATAGAATCACAGAATCATCTAGGTTGGAAGAGACCTCCAAGATCACCTAGTCTAACCTCTGACTTAACACTAACCAGACCTCCACTACACTGTATCACTAAGAATAGTTACATACATCCCTATTTGCTGTAACAGTATTTGATTTCATAGATCATCAATCAGCCTTACTTATGATATTAAAATAGCCATTCAACATGCAAAGTCACAAGAATATTAGCAATAAGCTTACCAAATACATGCATTATTCTTAAATATTTAAAAGTACTATTACCATATCCACTGTTAGACAATAAGCTGTGACAATCTGGAAAACTGAACGTTTCCCTGACACACCCAGAAAGGCCAAGAACCCCTAACCTACCAAATTAACTGAACATTGAAAAAGAACATACGTGAACTAAAGCAAACAAACAACAACTATTGCCTTTTATCAAAATCCTTGAAAGTTTATCATTAAAAGATGTACCTTCTTAGGGCTATACTTTGATTCTTTTTTCATTGTCCTCCGTAAAAATTCTGGCATATTATTTTCAATATCTTCACGTGTTCCCTTCTTGTGCAACACTGCAGCCAGAAATGAAATGACCTTGAGAAAGAAAACAATTCTCAGCAATCGTGTAAAAAAAAAAAAAAAAACAAAAAACAAACAAACAACAAAACAAACAGAATGAACAAGTTCCACTGAAAATAAACACTTCAGACAAAATCCTGAATGGGATTTAGTATTTTTATATATAATATTTATATATTTATCTTATTTTAAATCAATCTCAGTTTTTAAAATGGGAACCACTCCCCTTGGAGAATTCGGAATTTACAAGGGCATTTGTAAATTTATTAATTGCTCTATTTGCTCTTCAACACTGAAGTAGAAATGTCTCAAAATTACAGAAGAAATGATAAAGAAGACAGGAAGGGATAAGTCACATCTTGCAGTTCTCCTGACATGAAGGGCACATGAGTGTGGGATGAGGAGAGAAGGAAGAGATAATTGCTAACCGTACTCCAACCCTACTTCTGCAGAAGGAAGAGGTTTCTGGTATCTGGCCAGAACATTTAAATCTGTAACACCCCCTTGGGACAAATGACATCCATGGAGCTAAGCAGAAGCAAGAACCAATGCATCATTATGCAAGTACCCTTCTTTTCAAAGTTCACCGGTCTCCCTTTACTCAGGACTTTTGCAGCTGCTTCACAGCTGCTCATAACAAGGCAGAGGTAGAGCTGTCAGCTGTTGATTTCAAAAAAGAAAAAAAAGTAGCCAAAGCTTTCTCTCTCCAGTGATGGGGGAGAAGAGCCAGCCAAGAGCACAAGAGTTGATTGAAAAATATCTTAGAAGAGTAGAGTTAGATGAGAAGAACACAGCGAAACCCATCGCATACAGGACTAGATGGGAAAATATATATGGAAAAAGTAATTGACTGCATAATATTTCATATACACCAAGACTAAGAGGCAAGCTTGCACGTGTTGTTTGACTTCACTATCTTTTTAAATCCTGTCAAGAATGGCAATAAAATTCTACCAAACAAAATCTGCATGTGCCTTCCAGATCCTCCAGTTTCAGAAGAATTATGCATCACACATTTGTAACAATAGCAAAGGTGTAAAAGAGCAACTCTGCTGACAAACCTTTGGCTCTTTCAGATAATGCAGGAAGCGATTTAAAGGCTTTCACAGAAAACTTTAAATTACTGCAGTCATATAAAAAACATTATTGCACTTGTTTCCACTTCAATTTGAAAAGAGAGAGCCATGCACTCAAGCCAATTTAAGCAAAAAACAGGAGTAGAAAGAACATTAGAAGGCAAAAATCTTACAGAAAAGTCTATCTCAGATATCAACCTATAATTTAGAAATGGTAAGACTCAAACAACTGATAAACAAAAGCAAAATTTTCTGTAACACTAAGTCAGTTATCTAGTACTTGATCAAGTTTAAGTAGTATTTATTCTTTCATACATAGTAATCTGTACTAAACAAGTGAACTCATCTTTTAATTCTTATCTTCCAAACTGCTTTCACACACTGCATTATAAGAGCATAAATACTGTGTTTCAATAAGGTAGATTTTTTGAAGAATATCTTATGGATTACTTTCTTAAGTGAACTTGACATTGTGATTGGATGTGATATTATGCCTTCTAAATTCTACAAAGGAACGCAAGTCGCTGTATGTTCAGTATGACCCGGTCATCACAGTATCAGCTACAACTCTCAAATACAAGACATAGAAGCAAGATAACTCAACTTTATTTTTTTCTGATTTAATACTATCTTATGTGGATGCTTCAACAATATTAAACCAGATTATTTGCAATTCTTGCATAATTACTTAGTTCTTAAGCTGCCACAGACAAGAGATGTGGCCAAGATTAGGTGAAGCACAAAGTAAACAGATCCAGTTTGATTTTAATAACTGCATTAACAGATCAGTAGCACCTCTGCTCATCCATGATACACCTCTAAATTCCCTATCCAGACAAGTTTTGCCAATTTAGTTTACTTATTTCTCTAAATGCTTCGCTACAGAACAAGCTTCTGCGCACTGAAGCATCAGCTGACATTCTCCTCAATGGAAGCGCAACAGACAGCACTTTCCAGCAAGGGAATGAGCTGGCATTTCACATGTAGAGGAAGAGCAATGAGAGAGGGACAAAGACCATTGCATTCAATGGGCTAAATTAAAACCAGACAGATTAAAGAGAATTGTTTCAAACAAAACCACCCTGATTTTAATAAAATAAATGAATAATTTGAATCGCTATTCACGGCATAATGGAAAAATCCAGCTATACTTTGTCCTTTCATCAATATAAGTTGTACTTCCAACAGAGTGACAAAAGTAACATGGAACATCTAAGCACTTTTTCCCAGACAGGGGAGTAAACATGTCTTCTTCTTCCAGTTCCCAGTGCAGTCAAATTATTCATTTCCATGAAAAAAAGGAAAAAGACATTTTAATACCTACAGTCAGTTAAAAGGTGTATGTACATTTGCCTGTGCAAATTACTTTCATTATGTGCAGGTATCAACCCTTAAAATACATTAGACATGAAACAAGCACTAACATTGTAACTACTGAAATTACCCAGCCTTACACTAGAAGTGGTCACATGCCAGTTTTGTGGCCTGTTAGGGGCTGATTTAAAGTAGCACAGGTTTCTGGATCTAAGTACTGTTCTGAATCATCACATCCTGCCTCCTCCAATTTCACACCAAGAAAGGGGAGGCTAAACTCCACTGAGGTGGCTTTTCTCAAATAAGTCAATTTAAAAACAAATAAATAAATAAAATAATTTACACCTCACAGATAATTTTTTTGCAGTTTGTTATCTTTTGTCTCAATAAAGAATAAAATAAATACCTGTATTGTCTTTCCAAGGCCCATATCATCTCCAAGAATACATCCCCTTTTATTAGCATAGTGTCCATACAGAAACTGGACTCCTTCCCTTTGATAATCACGCAGGTATCTATTAATTGTATATGGGATAAAATCGCCATTGTCAGATAACTTAAAAGCCACTGCTGAAGACAGAAGATTTCGGTCAGGAAAATAAGGCTTTTCCAGATCACCATCATCAAATATTACGCTTTTCCGGGGACCTCTACCAGCTTCAACTCTACAGAGTTTAGATACTAGTATTTTCTTTTCTTCAGACTCCAGGAATGATACAGTAGCAAATGATTTTCCATTCTTGTCCTTTTCAATAGATGATATTGTTCCTTCACAAAGTTTCCCATTTTCAGGACAAGGTGCAACGCATTTCTCTCCAACATGCCACCTACCTGTGGAGGGAAAAAAAAGCAGAACAAAAACATAATGAAAAACTAGCCAAAAGCACGAAGTATTGCATTTGTCATACTAATCTAAATATTAGATACAAATTTGTTTGAAAAGTGCATATAACTTAAGATTTTATTGACAGCAGCCCTAGTATTAGTGTTTAGAAACTGCTTAGTGTTTAGAACAAAACCCTGAGCTAGGTATATTATAGTTTGCTGAAGCATTGCTGTTTTATAAATGCCTGAAAATCTGTATGAAAAATATCCTTTGTAAAAGCCAAACTCTGATAGATTACATTGTTCTGTGATCGTTTCACTCAGCCCACACACACACTAAAAGGCGATACCCTCAGATTTAGCATCCAATTAACAGTCCATGTAATCTGGTCAAAGGGATCTTCTGTATTAGATACATTTCTCATCTACCTAAATCTAGTAGTGCAGCTTTAGCACGTTGTTTTACAAATATAATCATGCACTAAAACATCACCTTTCTCCTTACAAAGTCTAGCATTAGATTAAAAAATAAACAAAAAACATGCTTAGAAACTACACTAAGTGTATTGTAAGAACATATAGTATCTTAGCATATGCCCATGTTGTTCACTGAAACAGCTATTTACCAAATTCCTTATGTAGCTGTCAGGCCTTAAACTGTTAAGATCTGTTCCTCTGTATGGTCTCTGTAAAGTCTTACAGCTTTCATACAGCTTATCAAATACTAACAACAGAGAAGATTGATCTGCTTTATTTCCAGCTATTTCATATACAATTTTAAAATGTTATATATATATGCTGCTAACAGAAAAAGCTAAGAACAGCAGTATATCATTTGAGAGAATCCACATCAAATTGACAAGGAAACATCCAACAAAATGTCTTCATTAGAAAAAATAGGGCATTCACTTTTTATAGTCAAAAGAGGAAGTCCTAGAAAATTAATGATTGCATGAAAAGGTTTTCAAATCTGAACTGAGTAAGCAGGCCTCCAAGTTTGTGGAAACAACTTCTAGCCTTGTCCTGCTCAGCTTTCCAAAAACTGAGTGACAAATACAATTCATTTCAGAACTTTTGTTTCTTATTTATTAGTTGGAATAAGTTTGCTGCATCTGGGAAAGTCATTAGCAGAAGCAGGCAGTGAGACTTTTTTGCAAAGGAGTAAGAGAGAATCCTGCAACAATTTGTACTTCATACCCACGATCAGTGGCAATACATACACCCTTTCACACTCCAATTCTTTGCAGATGTACAGAAAAAAAAAGTAATCTGAGTGCTGAGTAAAAGAAAGAAACAGAAATACAACCAAGTTAATTTTCAGAAGTAAGGAACAGAAAAGAGGAAGTGCTGTAGGCAAGAAACTCCACCTTCCCCCACTTTTACGTCTCAGTGCGAAAAGCTGATGGAGAAGACAGGTTGTTCTCACCAGTCCCGGAGCTCCTGGAAGCATATACTCACAAGGTTATTCTCTACACTTTATTAGCTAGTGATAAGTATATTTCATTCAGTTGGCTAAATTGCATATAGTAAAAGAAAACAGGAACATCCACGTAGCCCTCTATTCTGTAGCTAGCAGTGGCCATAAATGGACTTTCAGGTCACAATGAAAAAATCACAAGTATACAGAATACCTCTCTTTTAAAATTCTTTAGCCTTTAAGATTTTTTTTGAACTATGGAAATTCCTTGGGACAGGTTTCTGTTTGGTAAACCACAGTGGACCTCTCTTCCAAGTAGCTTAATTCCCCTTTCAACACATGCAAATTTCTTGCATTTGATGTCTACTGACTAGGATGTTCACAGGCATGGTCTGTTTCACCTGCAAGAGACTTGCATCCTAAACCAGTGGCCCACTAGTTTTTACACCATTGAGATCATAAACTGGGATCACTCCATTTGATTCATGATTCTGCAGATCTCTCATGCTGCCCTTCCATCCTTGCTTGGGATGAGAAGTCCCACCCCACACCCTGTGCCCTGTACATAAGACACTACATACCTTCAGTCATGCCTGAAGATCTTCCCTGAAATTTGAAGCTCAAGTATATCTTTCTGAGGCAAAGGCTGATGTACAGACAGTATATTCAACAAATTATATGAAACTAATCTCTTGAAGTTTAAGGTATTTGTACTGTCTTACACACATGCCTAAATCCGTGGAAAACAAAAGAGGGACAGAGCATGACTTTCTCCCCTTAGCATTTGAATCCTTGGGCAATTTCTCAAAACTGAGAAGCAAGACTGAAATATGAAACTAGAGATATCCAGCTCATTGGTAAATATGCAAAACAGAATTTAAAATACATGAGTATTTCCTATTTTAGTTTCTTTTACAGTAATATCTGTGACACCTAGCCTTTGAAGCGTACGTTAACTTGGTTAAAGCTATGATAAGATGACAGTGCCTTTGTTTCTAAGGCATTTCCTTCAGTTTTACAAGTCACTTCTGACTTGACAGAACTAGCATTCCAGGTGCAAAGCAGAATACAGAACATTGGACAGTAACTTCAGAAACACAAAATTCTAAACCTACTAAGAAAAATGAGAAAAATGGCAAAATAATGGTATTAAGGATACCACTGCTGCAAGGTTCCAGAAAATAACGCTGTACAGGCTGAAGTAAGAACTGCTACTTTAACTAGCCTGATTCACTCGCTTCTTTTTTTGGAACCAGACAATTGTTTATGTAGGGTAAAACCTTTAAAATTAAGAAATTTCTTTAGTGTGGCTTCCAAGTATAGCTGCAGTACACTTGCCATCCGTAGAAAAAGACGGTATTTAAGATGTTTGCCTGTATTTATCTATCTCATTACCACTTATGAGAAAATGCAAAGCGAGGTAATGGCCTAGTCACTCCCTCGCCCACTTTAACAACTATTCCCGCAGAAAATAAGCAAAATCACTGCGAATGCTCTGTAGATATTGAGGTTGAACCACTTTAACGTGAAGCTGGAAGCTTTTACACTCCGACAACCTACCTTCAGAGCACACCCAACACACCATGAAGCAAAACCGCGGCTTTTCCTGAAAAGTCCTAAAAACTGCTCAACGGGGGAGGCTACGGCTAACGTTGTCTTCCAGAAAGATGACGAAGCGAGGAGCTTCGCCTTCACTTCAAGGCACACCACCCCTTCTCCAAAGGAAAAACAACAGACACCGAGCCCGGGAGGCAGCCGTTCCTCACAGAAAAACCGCCGCGCGGAGCCTCCCCCGACACCCCCTCGGGACTCCCCGGCCGCCCGCCCTCACCTGCGGTCGCCTCGCACATCCCGGCCGCGGGGCCGCGCCTCACGCTCCCCGGGGGCGGCCGCGGAGCCCCGGGCAGGACGGGCCCGGCGGAGCGCTCCGGAGCCCGGCGGGGCGCCCAAGGGGGAGCGCGGCCGCGGCCGCCATCTTGGGCCCGGCAACACCCCGCGGAGCACGGCCGGGCCGCGGCGCTAAGTATCGCGAGGGTTGGGGGCTGTCTCGGGAGAGGGGGGTGGAGAGGGGCTGAGGGGGTGGGGGTTAGGCTCGTGGCTCTGTGAGGCGTGAGGGTACAACGTGTGTACTCAGACAATAAAACACATCAGGCACCGCATCTATTGGCGAAAACTGTTCAAAAATGTGCTCCCAATAAAATATATTGCCTTAAAAGCATACGTGTAGTCTTGTAGTTACCTGCACCGCGTCGGTCCTAAAGGGATGTGACAAGAACTGCCACAAAGCCAAGGCTGGGAACAGCACGATGATGTTTCAGATTTCGAAGCTTTGGCAAAACAATTGCACTGCAACCCCACTGCGACCTCACATGCTTAACGAACCTCAGCCCTCAGAACGTCTTAGATCAGCAAGAATATATGCTGTGATTCTAAGGCAAACTTTTAAGCGGGGTCATGTTTGAAGATAAAGGTTTGTTGATACCACAAGGTGTTTATTTATTTTATATTATGTTGCATTTGATTCTTCTACAGAGATACTTGTGCTTAATAAGGATTCTTCCCAGCAGAGTACATCTGTTATTTTACTGTAATAAATACAGTATTATAGTTTCCCAATAGGAGGAAATAAGAAATAGGTTAAACACTTTAAATTTTAAACACTTTAATTCTTCTAACAGGAACTAACATTCTGACTATACTCCAATGGTCCCATTCAGTGGTAAGGCTTCAGTGGCTTATCTGGAGCCAGAACTGCCCATGAAAACCCATCTGATATTACTAGGTTGAGTCTCCATTACACTTAGGTATGCTCTTGTAACTCTTCTTAAGATGGGCAACAAAGGGAGAAAGTCACCCTTACTTAGCTTTTTAGTTGGTTATCTTTTATCTCATCAGATAGCTTTCCTCTGCTGTTAAAATTCCTCTCACAAATTACAAGCAGTTTCTGTAACTTTACAACACTTCAGGGAAATAATAATAATAATAATAATAAACCATAAAAAATGGAAGCTAGACAGAGAGAGAACTTTCACCAGGACATTCCTTCCTTGTAGGACCAGGTCCACAATGAAAATGTTTTCAGAAGTCAGTGAATTAATTACTTATGTAATCTATCTGTTACAGTTTTTAGAATATAGAAGTCCTTCCAGGAAATCATTCTAGCTCAAGTTAGAAGCCAGGATATTAAAAATATCTCACACCATGTTTCTGCAGGAAAAGATTTGTAAGATATTTTGAAAAGCTGTAGATATTACTGAAAAGTTCAATATATCCAAACTCCGTATGAAAACTGGAACTTTGCTTATATTTAACTTTAGATCTCATAAGACTAAGGATTAGACTCAAGTAATAACCAAAATGAATAGGATAATGGGGATATGCACTTTGAAAAGATGCACTGTATTCCTGAAGGCATTTCACATGGCTTTCCTGTTCAATCTTCTTTGACAGATAGAGGAAATAAACTAATTGCTGTGCATCTCAAAAGGGCAGCTTAATTACTTTTTACAGCATCCTCCGTGTCAGCATGTCTGAAAACAAAACAGGTTAGTGGTTCTCAGATGCACCGTTTGCGAATTGAGCTGAAATCCATAGAAAGCACAAGCACCTAGAATTTTTGAAAATATAAGACAATTGCCTAATTCCGTACCAGAAGAAAAAAGGGGTCGTTCAATTCAGTGATATTAATTAAGCATGATAGTATTAAAAGTGCTAGTTAGAGGAACTTGGTTATGTGATATGTGCTGAATTAATATTTTGGAAGGCCTTTTGTCTCTACCTAAAGTTTGTTTGTCACACAGTTTTACACATCCCCTATTAATAACATTCAAGAAGCTCTTGCAGTTCTTGTTGGAAATAGGCCTGCTGGGGTGCTATGAAGTGTCTGTGCACTCATACACACTTAGGAAACATAAAAAAAAAATTAGAGCTCTTGTGTGCAGCTGTAGGGCTACACAGTATGGTTGTGATCAGTGTGGTGAAATAGCTCACACAAATGGAGTGCTGGTATGGATATACAGGGTCCGTTTAGGATGGATGGACCAGAACAGGGAGGAGTGGGACAGTCTTTCCTTGAGAGAGCTCTGCCTGGGGACAGATCCCAAGCCAGCTGAGAGTTTATAGGTTAGGAGTAGAGAGCAGACCGAAGGGGGCAACATTCTAGTGGATGTCTGCTGCAGACTGCCAGATCAGAAAGAAATAGGAGAGGTCTTTTTCTGGATAATTGGAGGAACACCCTTGTTTGCAGGCCATTCTCCTCATTGGGATTTTAGACAACCCAGTAATGTTCATATGACAAGTGCTGTAGCATAGAGGCAATCCAGAAGAGTTTTGTTTTTGTTTTTGTTTTTTTTTTTCCTCACAACTTCAATCCAGGAGTGCACTAATAACAACTTTCTGACACAGGTGATCTCCACAGATGGAGCTTCCCTGTTGAGTCTCATACCTACCAAAAAGATCTGGCTGGTAGTATGAAGGTTGGGGGCAGCATCGGTGATAGCAGCCATGAGATGGTGGAGTCCAGGATCTTGAGAGAAGGGAAGAAGGTAAATAGCAGGATCATGATTTTGTACTTCAGGAGATCAGGCTCGTGCTTGACCAGCCTTCTGAAATGACTGGCTTAGTGGACTAAGGGAGAGCAGTGTATGTTATTTATCTTGACGTAAGCAAGGATTTCAGAATTTTCTTTTATAACATCTTTTATAGACAGAGTAATGAACTATGGATTAGATAAAGGGATAGTGAGGTGGATTGAAAACTAGATGAACTTCAGAGCTCAAAGGATTGTGAGCAGCAAAATGTCCAGCTGCAGTCCCATTACTAGTGGTATATTACTAGTGGTAGACCGCTACTGGTCTTTCAGGCTGGTAGCGATGAAGTTGCAATGAGAAGTCCGAAGGCAATCAAAAGAGACTTTAGGGATTTGGGGCGACTACTTAGAGGATCAGGGGCACAGGTTGTGTTTGCCTCTGTCCTTCTGATAGGGGGGATCGAAGCTGAAAGGTGTGCTGTTCACATAAACTTGTGGCTTCGAGACTGGAGTGACCGGCAGAACTTTGGGTTCTTTGATCACGGGAAGGTCTATGCTACACCGGGCCTGATGGCACCGGATGGGATGCGCCTCTCTCGGAGAGGGGTAAGGATCTTTGGTCAGGAGTTGGCAGGGCTGATAGATAGGGCTTTAAACTAGAGTCGAAGGGGGAAGGGGCTAAAACCAGGCACGCCGGTGAAGACCTAAGGGATGGTACGCTAGAATCAGAGGGGCTGTGTGCCAGTGAGGTCCTTCGGTCAGATCCACAAGGTGCTGAGTGTCAGGAGACGCACCTGAAGTGCTTCTACACGAACGCACGCAGTATGAGGAATAAAATGGATGAGCTAGAAGTCCTGGCCCAGTCCAGCAACCACGACATCATCGGCATAAGCGAAACCTGGCGGGATGAGTCCTGTGACTGGGGTGTTGCGATAGATGGTTACAGGCTCTTCAGGAGGGACAGGCAGGGTAGGCGAGGTGGTGGGGTGGCGATGTATGTGAAGCAGGGGCTGGACTGTGTGGAACTTCAGGTTGGCGATGGCAAAGTTGAGAGCCTCTGGGTAAGGATCAAGGGACGAACGAATAAAAGGGATGTCGTTGTGGGAGTCTATTACAGACCGCCTGGCCAGGACGATAGCGCCGATAAATTATTCTTTACAGAACTAAGAGAGGCCTCGAGATTAACTCCCCTTGTCCTTATGGGGGACTTCAACTTGCCAGACGTTAACTGGGAGTGCCACACGGCTGACACGAGCAAGTCCAGGAGGTTCATGAAGCACCTAGATGATAACTTCTTGGTGCAGGTGCTAACGGAGCCAACTAGGAAAGGTGCCCTCCTAGACCTGTTGCTAGAAAACAGAGAGGGTCTGGTGGGAGATGTGGTGATCGGTGGCCGCCTCGGTCATAGCGACCATGAAGTGGTTGAGTTCAAAATTTATGGTGACAGAAGGAAAAGTGCCACCAAAACCTCATCCCTTGATATGGGGAAAGCGGACTTCAGGCTGCTCAGGGAACTAGTCAGCAAGGTCCCTTGGGAAACTGCTCTTGAAGGCCTCGATGTCCACCAGTGCTGGTCATTCTTTAAGCGATGCCTCCTAGAAGCACAAGATCAGGCAATTCCTAAATATCGCAAGTCAGGCAGGCGGGGCAGGAGGCCGGCGTGGCTGACCAGGAACATTCTGATGGAGATTAGGCAGAAACAGAGAGTGTTTTGCTACTGGAAGGAGGGCCGGGTGTCATGGAAGGAATACAGGGATGCTGTTCGTGTTTGTAGGGAGAAAATTTTTGTGGCTAAAGCACACCTAGAGTTGAAGCTGGCTGTGTCTGTGAGAGAAAATAAAAAGGGTTTTTTTAGATACGTGAATGGAAAAAGGAGAACTAAAGAATACATAGGGCCGCTCCTTGATAGGGAAGGTCTCCTCACAGACAATGACATAGGCAAAGGAGAGATGCTTAATGCCTTCTTTGCCTCTGTCTTCAATGCCGATGATGGGCTTCGGGACCCAGGGTGCCCTGAGCTGGAGGACCGGGACGGTGGGGATGACAAACTCCCAACCGACCCTGAACGTGCGCGGGGTTTGCTACTCCACCTGGATCCCTACAAGTCCATGGGTCCGGATGGGATTCATCCCCGGGTGCTGAAAGAGCTGGCGGACGTCATCGCGGAACCTCTCTCAATTATTTTTCAATGATCCTGGGAATCTGGAGAGGTCCTGGTAGACTGGAAGCTGGCAAATGTTGTGCCAATTTTCAAGAAGGGTCAGAAAGAAGACCCTAGCAATTACAGGCCTGTCAGTCTCACGTCAGTGCCTGGTAAAATCATGGAGAAGATGGTTCTCGAACTTATTGAGGCGCACCTGGGGGACAAAGCAGTCATTGGTCCCAGCCAGCATGGGTTTGTGAAGGGTAGGTCCTGCCTAACTAACCTGATTTCCTTTTATGATAAGATCACCCATATGGAGGACCAAGGGAAACCAGCTGATGTGATTTTTT